GAGGTAGTGAATGGACGAGGGAACAAATGGAAACAAGAAGCAGGAGCAGAAGCCCAGAAAGCGCTGACACAAAAAGTAGCAGAGGCAAGAAGAAAAAATAAAACTACTTAAAGAAATGACCCCTTAATATATTAAGAAAAAAAATGAATAAGTGTATCAGAGAAGAATTGACAAAAGAAATTGTAAAATGCCGTGGTTGTAAGATATACAACAACAAAGTCAAAAAAGCAAATGACATATTTCCTGACTGTATCATTGATAATATTTTGAGTTTTGTATGTTGTAAAAGATGCACCATTACAAAACATTTAATGAAAAACGAACCTGACAATTTAAAAGAAATGGATAAGTGGATTTGGTATATGACGAGGTTAAATAAATGTCCAACGAAAAAATCATTACGGACAATATTTACAACTGGTTTAGACAAAACATTAAAAGAGTATGGATATGACAATAGGCTAATCTTGCATTATGAAACCGCTACTCAATTTCATTATAATTTACTTTTTCATAATAATGATGGTTATGTATCTTGTAAAGATTTTAGCATCTCGATGTGTAGGGATTTTCTTAAAATGTTGAAATGGCAATATATAGAAAACAAAGACAAAGTCGTTTATAAAAACATTTTTAATAATGAGTTTTACCATAAATTCGTTTGTCATTTGTTAGAAAAGAAAAGGTTGATTATAGACTGGTTTAATTATATGGGTACTTATGATTTTAGTGATGATGACTAAGTTTATTAATATTATTATCTTATAATATTATTAAACTACCTTAAAGTCAAATATATATACTTAAAGAAACAAGACCTTAATATAATAAGAGCAATGGAAGGTATGACAGTATTAACCACAGAAAATGTAGAGAAGTTGATGGAGAAAAGACAAAAAGAAAGTGATGAAGTTAAAAGATTCATTAAGTTAAATCCATATCCATCCTATGAAGAAATGAACAATGTAATTGAAACAATGAAAGAATTGGGTTATCCAGAAAAGCCATTAATACAATGTTATCATCGTGATTTGTTAATGAAGACTTACAATGAATTATATGATGAAGGAAAAGTAATTGAATATGGAGCAGAGTTAAACAATATAGCATTCACAGGTTGTAAAAACATTGAAGATATGAAATTCTTTTTTAGGAGAACAAATTGTCTAATTCTTCAAGCAATCATTCGGTTTAATTATGAGAAGCATAAGAAAAGAAACAAACATATTGACAAAGAAACAGTATTAAGCTGGTCAAGAAAAATAGAACAGTGGTGGAATGAGATTGGTGAAAACATTGGCATTTATGCTGATTTTAGCAATTGGAAACCCTAAGCAATATTAATGGTTTATTCATATTAACAACTTATAATATGATTAAACACATGTATCCCCCAGAAAGCTTAAAAATTGTCTGAAACCCGAACCTTGAAAATGTTGAAATCTTAGACTGTTTCATAATGAAAAAATTGTAAAAAAAATGTTGAGAAAATTTAGGAAAATTCCCCACAATCAACCTTGGTGTTTTGAACAAAATGGTTTGCTTGTTGAAAATGAACCCTGCCCCTGAAACCCTGAACTGAAAATACCCTACCCTAGAACCAACCTTATAACCATTTTTTCCCCCAGCTGGAAACAAACAGTTGACCCAAATCGCACGCAGGACAACAGCTTGACTCGCCAAGGGAGACGCGCTTTATGAAGCCGCAAGTGAGCCCCTGAAACTTCAGATCCCGCGTAGCCGCCATTGCTCCAGGGAAACCCAAGAACCAGATCTGGCTGAGCTGGGACTCTTTAGGGAGCCTGGATGAAAGCCTTCTCCACTTTGGGGATTCTCCGATCGCGGCCTAACGTCAATGTGACAAGATGGCCTCTTTTTCCCCCATGCCTTTGTCATTGAGGGGATTCCCTTGGCCAAGGTTTTTGCACAGCCATGCCCATGTCGCGGATTTCCTCCAGTTTTCCTGTGTTGCAAGTGAACTGACCACATCCAAACACAAATCCGTGGAGTTTGCGGCAAACCCTGCGTTTGCGGGTGTCCAGTACTTGCAAGTACGTTGTAACCCCCCACTTGCAGATTTACATGGCACAACCAAATTATTTTAATGGGGTTCAGACCCCCCCAATGGGTCCGTTAACCTGTATACCCAACACCATGGTGACTTGCCACAAAAGGATGATTGTTCCCTTGGGTTCAGGATTTTCCGTAATCTTCAATGACCCTTTAGTCTTTGGTGGACACAACATTTATGTGGGATTCATTTCCACCAACCACCTTGCGTGTCATGACTTGCTGGCAGAGAGGATTGACAGGATGGGACTGAGGTCCTTTTTGGTGTCGATGCGATCCAGTACAGCAACCAAGCTTCTTCGGTTCCAGCTCAAATTCAGTTCGCCTGAGAAATGACAAAAGAGCATCAACCACCTGCAGCCTGAGAAAATCAGCCAACCGAAAAAAAGGATTGACCCGCAAACCCAAAAGCGGTTGCAGAAACCTGCCGCCCCAAAACGCGGTTTCGCGTTTTCCCCCCCCCCTAAAACACAAATGAACAAAAACACAACACAACAAAGAACATATTGCTCAAGGAATTGACTCGAAGCTGTTCGTTTTATCTTCACGATGGGTTCCATGTGGCAAACCATGCCGGTCCCGACTCCCGACCGGACTCCTTGGCGAAGACGGCAAACTCCACCCGCCCGGAGGCCTCGTTCCCATAGGCGAGATTTTCCGAATAGGGTCGTGCAGTCCCAGAAAGGGGGCGGGAAAAGGCAGGGTGCTTTCCAAGTTCTGTACGGACCTATGTGGGTATGAACACTTTGGACCCTTTGGTTTTGCCATGGTAGAGGTGTACGCAGCCCTGTAACCACACAAGAAGCTAGGTAGGAACCAAAACACCTACTGAAATGGCTAACCGACTTTTCATTGGGCATCTTTGGTACCGCGTCAGGATTTCCAACCCCTATGGCCTCGCCCGAAACAATGGGTTTCCCTTTGCGGGGCATTTTCCCCAAAGGGTGATGATATGGACCCACACAACTCAATGAGAATCCATGGGGCGGAGCGGGCCCCTTTTTGAACTGATTTTCCAGAAAGCCAGATGTGTAGGAATCCCTCACAATGCAACCACTTTCAGGGCCCAGTAGGTTGAACATCCAAGCTCCCAGTGTGAACCTCTCAGAAGTATGAACTTTTTAGGAACCCTGGAGTGAACCTGTCTGTGAGTGTGTGTGTGTGTGTGTGCGTCTGTCTGACTATCTGACTGTTTGTCTGTCTGTCTGTCTGTCTGCCTGTCTTTCTTTCTTTCTTTTCTTTCTTTGGTTTCTTGGTTTCTTTCTTTCTTTGGTTTCTTTCTTTCTTTATTTCTTTCTTTCTTTCTCTCTTTCTTTCTTTTCTTCTTTCTTTCCTTCTGTCTCTCTCTCTCTTCGTCCTTCCTTCCTTCCTTCCTTCCTTCCTTCCTTCCTGCCTGCCTGCCTGCCTGCCTGCCTGCCTGCCTGCCTGCCTGCCTTCCTTCCTTCCTTCCTTCCTTCCTTCCTTCCTTCCTTCCTTCCTTCCTTCCTTCCTTCCTTCCTTCCTTCCTTCCTTCCTTCCTTCCTTCTCTATTTATATATATATATATATTATGTTCATGTGTTTCCTTTGAACATATTTTTCTCATATGTGATCTATTTCCTTGCTAATTTATTTATGTCCTTCTTTCTTCATTTCTTTCTTTATTTCTTTCGTTCTTTCTTTCTTGCTTTCTTGCTTTTCTGTTCTTTCCCTTTCTTTTCTTATGTTTTAATGTTGCCTTCTTTTCTTTATTTGTCTCTCTCGCTCTCTCTCTCTCTCTCTTTCTCTCTCTTCATTTATTTCTTTCCTTAGTAGTTTTTTCCCCGTTCTTGTCTCTTCTTTCTACTGGTGTGCTGCTTGCCTTGAGGGATCCCCTGGGGGATCCCCTGGAGGAAACCGCGAGCCGCTCATCGAGGTCGCCACCGAGAAGCCCTGCTTCAGGTGGATGAGCCCCGTCTTGCCCCGGCTCCCCTCAGATTTTCAAACGACTCACGGCGCGCGGAACCCGAAATGTTTCTTGTTTGTTTACTCCAAACTTGCCAAGGGCTTCAAGCTTCTCTTGTTTCGGTGTTTTTTTCCGGGGGTCCCCCTTTCAGGTTGTTCTAAGGGAAACCAAAAGGAGCACAGTGAGACACACACACACACACATTTTGGTGGGGCCCTATTCCCTATTTTAACACACACACAGGGTGTTTGCAACTGACATGACATGAGCCATCAGCCCTGGCATTGCAAGGGTCTAGCGTCACCTGTACCTGTTTGCGACTGGGACTGTCCCTTGCAACTCAGCACTGACCAATGCGCATGCCTTGTGACAGTATTGATACACCGTGCATCCTGTTCTTGGATGTTCAACCCACGTAGTCACAGGTCATACCAAGGTCCCAAGTGGGACAGGGGTTGACTTGTCACCGTTGCAACCTGACGATACATCCATTAAAGTGTTTAAAGGGAAGCTACACAAAAAATATGCTTGAGAGTTCCTCAAGATGTTCACTTCAACAAGCCCGGCGCCAGGTTCAACATGACATCCTTCTTGTTTTGTCTCTTCCACTCCTCAGGCGGTCTTGAGGTGGATACTGCACGACGGGCCTGCACGCCGCTGCAGTGTGACTGAGGGAAACTGACGTTAATTGCGCTTCAACGACCTGCTAGCATCTGCTGGGGGTATCGCGCAGCCCGCTACGCCCCCTCACTTAAGTTCTCTTGAGGTAGGTGTGCGAACCATGGATCAAGAATCAAGAAACAAGAATGCACCGCTAGACGGAATCTCGGACTCCACCCAAAACGGAGTCGGCTCCTCAAGAGCATCTGTACAAACCATTCAAAGGTTAGCCTTGTCACGAAAGGAGATGGTGGCAACAAATCCGGTGCTTCTCTGGGTGGTTCACAGTGTCAACATTAGAAGTAGGAGATGGTGGCAAAAAGAAATCCGGTGCTTCTCTGGGTTC